CGTCGCGCCGGGGCCGCTCCCCTCTCCGCCCGAACCCCGCCAGGCCGCGGACCCCGAGCCCCGAAGGAAGAAAAGGCTGCTCACCGCCCCTTCGTCGCCACTCCGCGTTTTCGGATAAGCTCGTCCAGGGAGATGTCCGCCATCTTAAACCGCCGAGCCACCCGAGAGCAGTTTAGACCCCTGAAACGCGCGAGCCCGCCCCCTCAGCCGCTACGAAGCGACGAGCTGCTTCCGACGTCCGGCCAGCCCACTCTCGCGACAATTTAAACGAGACAAGGACCGGAAGGGGTGGGGACGCCTCCCGGGAGCCCTCGCGATGCTCGTTCCTTATTTGCATACAGTTATGGGAACTCTGGAGAGCCTTTCTCTCTCCCAAACAAATAAAATTGAAAACGACATTAAAAGTTAACAATAAATAATATAAACTTTAGGGGAACCGGGTTGTCCGTTCAGTGCGCAATCTAATAATCACCGTAGGTCAAATAAGAATGATTTTCATTACCTACGGGACAAGAGCAGTTCTCCTTTATGCCTTAAACTTATGAGTAAGGAAAATAACGATTCGGGGTGACGCCCGAATCCTCACTGCGAATGTGAGACGAATTTTTGTGCGGGTAAAGGTTGCCCCTAAGGTGACCCGCCTACTTTGCGGGATGCCTGGGAGTCGCGATCTGCCCGTCCCTTCCACTTTTGAAAAGCAGACTAGCCTGAGGATTATTTTCATCAGTGAGGTTTTTTTTCATTTCTCCCCTTTATAACGTGGTTACTTTTTTGGGGGAGGTGTCGGGCATCGAACTCGGGCTCTTGCGCATGCGAGGCAGGTTAATTCACAGAGATTCGTGGTACTATTGGCTGTTACGGATCTGTATGTTTGGCAGGGTTGTTAGACCCGTTCACTGAGTGGTTTCTCAGCGATTCCTCCAGCATTGATCCTCCTGGTTGTCGCGAGCACCGATTTTATGTTTCGGGATCCCACGTATATTAATCGACTGCAAGTGGCTTTTCGAGAATAATCTCATTTATTATATCATCAAACACACACATACAAGAGAATATGAAAATAAGCATAATAAGCATAGCGGTAGTCAAAGGAATATAAGCAGTATGCCAGCCCAAGGTAATCGGGCTGGCACCAAAGCTAGGCTAGAGTCATTGCGGAAAAGAGTCCTGGTATACGACCTGAGTCTGTGGCGCCGGTGGTGTCGGACGCGGCAGGGTCGCGCTGCGACGTGCTTCAAGGTCTCATGATGTTCTCCGGCATCTGACGTCTCGAACGGGAGAGCGTCTCTGGCAGAGTGTCTGCGTCTCGGGCAGAGCTTCGGCGGGTCCACTTGACGGGTCGTCAAGGACGGACGACGTTGGTCTGTTCCTGGGGTCTTTTATACCTCTTCTTATCATTATCACACGTTTCACACATTGCTATCACTCCAAACAGGTTGTAATGACTTCACTGTAGCTTGTCACACCCTTAACACACTTAGTATGATCTCACTGCAAACCTAATCACTCCAAACCACTCCAAGCTAACACTCAGGCTGCGTTTATCTTGCCTGCTACCTGCAGCATGGGGATTTCCCCTAGCTGCTTCCATGTTCACTACACTGGTGTACGTTTGTCAGTATGGATGCAAGGCTGAGGGGTGTATCTGTGTCGGCCGTGTGCCTAAAGACTGTTGGTTGAATCTCTAACACCACAAAAACAGACCGAACACGCAGTGTCCTTAGGTCAGGTGGCATTTATGTACTCTTCACAGACCTTCAACCGCATTTAAAAATCTGGCTTGCTTGGAAGTTGAGGCAGGAGGATCACAAGTTTGAGCCCAGTCTGGGCAACCTGGGGAAACAGGGGCTGGGGGTGTAGCAGAGTACAAAGACCCTGGGTTCCACCCAGAGTACTGTTATGTTACTTAAATGTAAAATTCTAGCATCAGATGTGTGGAGAAACCAGGTAAGAGCTGGGAAAGCCAGCTCTAACCCTGGCCCGTCTTCTATGGGCCTCAGGAGCCCCACCGGCCCCAGCCGGCCAGAGTAAGGTAGATGTGGAGAAAGAACCCTGTGCGGTGGCCCTGACCCCAGGGCACCTGAGAGCCTGGGAGGTGGGGACAGGAGTGGCAAGAGAGTCCCTCGCTGTCTGGGGACAGTGGAGCCAGAGGAACCAGCCCTGCTTTCTTTGGAAATAAGGCCAGGCACTGTCCCCGCCTCGGAAAAAAGCTCCCCCCAAGGGCAGGGCCTGGGAGTCCGGCTGCATCTGGGGCCAGGACCCTGGGACAGTCCAGGGTCCAGATCTGGCCTCTCACCCTGTCCCCATGCCGGTCCCGCGTCGTTTCAGCAAAAGCTCCTTGCTCTACTGCTCCTTCAGAACGTGGGTGGTGCTTCGTGTGCCCGTTTACAATTCCACGTGTAGACATCTGCACTCCTGGGGAGCACAGCGGGTTCGCCCTACCCCACCTTGTGTGTGGCGCAGGGCCTCAACATTCCGGGCAGGCGCTCAGCCATCTCATAGCTGGGGAAAGGAGACGGGGCAGGCGGTGGGGACCCGCAGGACTCATGCCCTTCTTACACCCTCTTGGCTGGACGCAGGCAGGATCTTGGCCAAGCCCTGACCTTTGGCTCTGTGTTTTCATCCTTAGAGGGGCCAGGGGAGAGAGTGAGACCTCAGGTGTGTCCCTGCTTGGTACGGAGAACGACCAGCCCTAACCCTGCCCATGTAAGCAAGCGGTAAGGGCCAGGGTCAGAATGGAGGTGAGAGGAGGGAGCTACACGGCCCAGGCCTGCACAAGGTGTTCCTTCCTGTGCAACCTGCAGACTGTGTCCTTCACATCCTCCTTGGGCCACCCAGCAAGTGCCTGCCCCAGGTCCTTTGCCCTGGCTGCGATATGCCCTGGCCTTGCTTTAGGGATCCTGTCCAGGAAGTCAACGCATGTGCGCTGGGGTGCAGCTTGGTGGCACAGTGGTGCCTTGCACATGTGAGGCCCTGGGTTCCATCCCCAGCACTGCAAAAAATAAATAAAACAAAACGCCAGACAGAGGACCCTGCCGGTGAACAATCTGGAAACAACCAACTGTGCAAGCTGGGCCTGGTAACGCACACCTGTGATCCCAGCTCTTGGGAGGCTGAGGCAGGAGGATCGCTGTGAGTTCGAGACCAGCCTGGGCTGAGTTCCTAGTGAGTTCCAGCCTAGTGAGTTCCAGGTCAGTCTCAACTACATAGTGAGACCCTGTCTCAAACAACCAAAAAAAAAAAAAAAAACCCAACTGTGTGGGAGCGGGGGATTCGCTATCCGTCTTGGGTCCACCTGGGCGGGGGGGCCTGTCTGAGGCTCAGCAGCCACTCCAAGTTTCAGGCGCGTTCCCAGCACCCACTTCCAGGGCCACCAGGTGTTGGTGACACTTCAGAGCTCACGGAAACGTCCCGAAAGGATCACGGGGCCCTGGCTGACCCCTGGCCCTGGTGAGGCCAATCACGGAGCGGGGTCTGCAGCAGGGTTAATGGTAGCAAAATTTTACTTCAGTACTTTTTCTGCTCATAAATGACTCTGAAAAGCCACTAAGCAAGAGGCAGACACAGTTGTCATATAAAGGCCACCAAGGACATCGCTCAGAAAACAGGCACCTCGCAGGTCCCCGTTGGGGAGGACAGGACGCCAACTGTGGGCAGAGGCAGAGGCACCGAGGGTCTGTGTGCCCCCAGGGCTGGGACTTCTGCACTCTGCCAGGCTGGCGACTTGGGCCGCACGGGGCTGCCTGAGTACAGTATGGGGCGCAGGAGAAATGCTGGGGTCCCCTGAGAGCCAGGCTCCAGCTGGCAGGCCCTGCGGGCTCCGGGGAGGGGACTTCAGGTCATCTCGTGTAGTGTCAGTGAGGGTGGCGTGAAGGGCGGCTGGCTGAGCCCCTGGTCCCCAACTCTGGATCCCCACCTTTCCAAGCCGAGAGCCCGGTGCTGGCGACCTCAGCACAGGGCCTGGGGCGGGGTTCAGAAGGTAGGGACGGGGTGTCCCCGGCAGCACCACCAGGGCGTGGGCAGGCCAGGCTGAACCCAGGTCCCGGGGCACAAAGTGGGCCAGTGCCGGGCAGTGTGGCAGGAGGGAAGGACAGGCGGCAGCACGGGCGTGGACAGAGGCAGAGGTGGCAGCGGCCCCCGCGTCAGAAGGTGAAGTAGCGCTCCTTGGAGTGGCCCAGGCGCTCCAGGTTGGGCAGGCAGGCGAACTGGATCATGGGCGGCGGCCCACACATCAGCACCAGCGTCTGCTCACCCGGGGCTGGGAGGTGGTCGCGGATCATCTCCTCGTTCACAAAGCCCTGGCTGTAGTCCCAGCCTGTGGGGAGACGGGGGCACCGAGGGTGACTCTGGCCTCTGCTCTCCCCGCATCCTCCACCCAGGGCACCCGGTCCTCCTTCCCTGGAAGGCGGGCGGAGGTGGACCCAGCACTGCCGTGGGTCCTGGCCCTGTAGCCTGCAACTGAACCCAATCCCTTCCCAGCTGCCCGCACCGCACTTTACAGGGTACAAAGCCTTCAGTTATGGACCCCATTGTACAGATGAGGAAACTGAGGCCCAGGGGACTCAGAACTACAGTTAGACCCCGCTCCGTGCTGCTCAGAGAAACCCACCACCTGCGCTCAACTCAGGCCCCAGGCTCCCTGCCCAGCTCCTCTCCGTGGGGCCTTGGCCATGAGGCAGCTGTGCTCCTGGTGCCCACAGTGCCCAGCGCAGGGTCACTGCTCAGTCAACAAGGAGCTGGAGGAGCGAGTCCTCTCCGGGGCCCTGCCAGGCTGCCAGAGGAGCTCGGCCGACCAGGGGACGCTCCGCCCAGTGTGCAGGTGACCTCAGGGCGGCTCCTCCTGTGTGGCCTCAGAGGAGGCACAGGGAGGCACGCGGCAGGCTGGGCAGCGCACGGACGCATCGGGAGAGGAGACAGGGCCATGGGTCACCGACGCATGCCTCTGGGTTCCCACGGGGCTGGATGGGGCTGAGTGGTGGTTTCTGGCCCCACAGTCTCTGTCCCCAACACCAACGGGAACCACTCCAGCTCATTTCCACCCTGTGCCACACCACCAACAGAGAAGACACAGCAGGTGCCCGAGGTCAAAGGGCCTGGCTGACCCCAGGCACCTTGCCGAGACGCATAACACAGCGCATCACACCGTGTCCTCTCTAAGGGACTCCCGAGGCCAGAGGCTGCGGAGTGGGGCTGCCAGCCTTGGGGCTGGGAGGGGTCGACTGCTGAACAGGAGTCCTCTTCCACTCAACTCGGGGACCCTTTTCGCCACGGCTGCTGGGAAGCTCAGTGACACCCATGCCCGCACATGGCAGTGTACACCACAGGCCATGCTTCTGCACAAACCTCACTCCCGATTCCTTTTTACAGCCCTGCCCTTGCTCTTCCTCCTCTCCCACTTTCCACTTGCACCGCTCCTGCCTCATCACGTGAGTCTTCACAGGCTGCCTAGGATCCCTTCCGGAAGGAGCTGGGCTCAGACAGACCACAATTTGTAAAGTAGGAATCACTTTGTAAACAGCTGCCTGCGACAAGCTGGCGCGTGACATGTGCAGTACACGGACGCCCCCTGCTCCGGCACTGGCCTGGGTCCCAGATGCTCTCCCCAACTCCACACTGGCCGATTTCTATTTCCTCGCTCATGCCTGGTGCCAGGGCTCGGCAAAGCCTCGGCAAGCGGAAAACACTGGGACACTCACTGCCCAGTACCTAGCTGGGGTGAAGGTCCCCGTCCTAAGAGATGACCCGCGGTACCGCGCACCACCACCAGGGGGCAGTAGCCCCTCCCCAACCCGGAAGCAGATGCATTTCGGGACCCCTGGTCAGCAGGGAGAGCCCAGCTCTTTCCTCCTTTCTGTTGGGACAGGGCTGCGTTTCTACCCCATCCTGCTGTCCCCTCCACATGGGACAAAGGCTCCTTTACTGCTGGCCCTACCAGGCCCTGCCGTCCCCTGATCCTGGGGCCAAACAGCATAACACCATCTGTGAGACAGGAATGTTCCGATACTCTGCTACCCACATTTGATCTAACAGGAATGGAAGGGTAGTTTGGTTCCCGGAAGGCGACCTCATTTCAAGTTCTGGGGACCCTGGCCCTAAGTCACTGCCTCCTGCGGCCCTGGTTCCGCCCCAACACTGCACCCCCAGTGACGCCGATGAGAGAGAAGAGGGGTGTCAAGTTCTGGGCAGGTCGAGCCTGGAAGCCGGGACCCAGGCTGCTGTCCTGTCAGGTGTCTCCCAGCTGTGTGACCCGGGCACCTGCCTGCCCTCTCTGAGCCGATCCCCAGCACCGCCCACCCGTGTGCAGAGGGCCCCACTTGGGTACCTCCCGCCAGCTCCCCTGCTCACCCTCGGGGGCCCTGTCCAACGTGTACCACAGCTTAAAGCGAGTGGAATGTGCGTTCCTCAGTTCCTCCAGCTCTGGCCGCAGCAGGATGTCCTTCTCCGTCTGCGGGGGAGAGGGCCACAGGTCATTGTGCCCATGGCGGGCCACTCAGGGGAGCTTCCTGAAGGCAGTGGGCACAGCCCTGCAGCCTCCTCGCCCAGGAAGCCTAGCAAAGCTGCCAGCTATGGTAGTGCACGCCTGTGATCACAACACACCGGAGGCTGAGGCAGGAGGGTCACAAGTTCCAGCCCAACCTGGCCAACACAGCAAGATCCTGTCTCAAGATTTACAAAAGGGGATTCAAGGGCCAGGAATTTCGCTCAGTGGTTCCACCACCCTCTTCGCAAGCGCAAAGACCCAAGTTCGATTCCCGGTACCAAAAACCAACCAAACAAACAAAAGGGGGATTGGGGTTGTAGCTCAATACAAAGGCCCTGGGTACAATCCTCAGTGCCACAAAAAGGGGAACACAGCTCACTGGTCAAACGTGCGTTTAGCACGTGTGAGGACCAGGGCTGGATGCCACGCACCGAGTCCAATTACAGTCCTGTTTCCAGGCTTCCTAGGAGATGTGTGGCCTGGCCCTCTCTGAACCCCGGTCCAGAGCGACACCGAGGGCCGTGCCACCTGCACAGGCCTCCAGGCCCCACCCGACACCGCCCAGCACCTCCCTTGACCTCCTGCTCGTCCCCACAGCTGGTCCTGGGGGAGTCTCCGCAGCTGTGCAGGGAGGAGGACTCGGGCAAGCCCCTCCCAGTCGGGGCTCGATGGCCTCACAGGTGGCAGCGTGGGCTGGCAGAGCCCTGGGGACGAGATGACCTGTGTCACATCTGAGAGACACAGGGGTCTTGCCACAGAGTCCCCAGAAAAGGACACCACGATCAATCGAGATCCCACTGTCGCACACACTGAACCCAGACAGACCCTGGCAGCAGGCCACACAGCAGGCCAGGGTGGGCAGGCAGTGGGCTCGGGTGGAGACCTGGCTTCAAACACCCTCCAGTTCAGGGAGCCAGCGTCAACACCCCTCGTCTGTGATCCAGGTCCCACTGTCTCTGGCTGGGATCACCCCTACTGCTCCTCCAAGGCTCCAAGCTCTGCTCTGGGCAAAGGAGCACTGGCGTCTGGGACCTTGCGGGGGCGCCCCGGGGACTCCCTCCAGCAGCCCATGCACTGGGTCACACCGGCCCCCGTGCTGTGCAGAGCCCCCCACCCATCAGCCCAGACCTCCACAGAGCCGTGTGGACCCCTGAACACTGCCCAGAGGGGCCCCACAGGTGCAGGACACATTCAGAGGAGCGGCCACTGACCTGGTTGGCAAAGAGCAGGTAGCACACGGTGTGATCATCCGGGTCCTTCAGGATGGCTCGGATCACCTGCAGCATGGGTGTGATACCTGCAGAACAGCGCCCCGTGTGGGCCCCAGGTGAGCGCCCGCAGGGTGGGAGGCGCCCGACCCCCC